AAGTCGAAGAACTTCACCAGCGCAAAACAGAAGAACTTCACCAGTGTAAAGTCGAAGAACTTCACAAGCTACAAGCCGAAGAACTTCAACAAGCTGCAAAACTGAAGAACTTCATAAGCTGCAAAGCCGGAGAACTTCACAAGCTGCAAAGCCGAAAAACTTCACCAACGCAAAACCAAAGAACTTCATGAGAGCAAAGCCGAAGATTTCAAAGATACTTTGTCAAGCAGGAAGCTGAAGGCATCAACTATTGATTCAAGAACAAGCTCACGATCCCTTGAATTAAAGTTTACATTTGAGACAATTAATTGGAGGATTATACATTAGAGATTGTAACACCCTCATATATAAATACAAATACAAGTTCATTAATTAGAGTTTTCTCTTATTGAATTTCTCGTCGAACAGGTTGTTTCCAAAATTTCTATACAATTGTGAGAATGTTCCCAAAAAATGAGAAATAAAAAATAAAATTAGTTGAAAAATACTTAGATTTCTTAAAAAAAATTAGAAACGAGAATATTATCAAACGAGTCCCAAATGTCTTGGAGGTATGTGTATTTAGAATTGACACCAGTTTTTTTTTTCTTTCACGAGAATTTTATTTCAAAGATTTGATTGCAATCATTAAAATTTAAATATTTCTAGTATGAATAGATGAAATGCATATATAAATTGTACGTGTTTTCATGCCTAGCATATATTCACAATATCTCAACTATAATAATTTAAAAATTAAGTTATGTTTTTCAAACTTTGCAAATTTTTAAAATTAATTAATAATACAGTATTTATTTTTTAAAAATAAAAAGTTAGTAAAAGACAAATAGACGATTTAACTAAAAATATGTATTAAAGTTCTCGCACCAGTTTATCGGATTTGTCCTAAAAAATAAAAAGGTAGTAAAAGACAAATAGACGATTTATGCTTCTTTACAATAGAAAACAAAAAAAAAATACCTATTTTGTTTTTAGTTTTCTCTTTCTACAAATTTAGCTTACTTTCTCCTAATTTATTTGGTATCTTTTTCACCTTTTTTTTAATTATTAACTCAATTTTAAAAATAAAAACAAGTTTTAAAAACTACTTTTTTTAAGGGTCTTTGGATAACTAAATCGTTTCTTTTTCACTTTAAAATTTATTCAGCCTAAATTTCTCTCTAAAATCTTTCTCTCTCTTTAACTTTTTTTTTTCTTTTGGAATATTTACTATTATTTCTATCTCTCCAAATTTCTATGTTTATATAGTTTCTTTCTTTAAAAATTTAATATTTTCTCAAGCATTTCTTACTCAAATTAGTGATATTTTAGTATTACCATTCTTGTTTTAAAAAATATTTTTAAACTCAAACTTATTAATTCCAAAAATATTGAGCAGTCTGACATATACCCATATTAATTAAACACAATTTCCAGTTTTATGGAGTGACTATATTGAAGAGAAATTTTAATAACTAACATTTATTTAAAAGAAAAGAAAAAACATGAGAGTTGGATGTTTAACCAAAAATCTCCAGGTTGGAAAGGTAGACGTATACCGCCCCACCAAATTGAAAAATGCGTTTAATTTGGGGTAAGTTTGGGTGGATTTGAAGATATTTTAAAAATGAGTTTAGAAAATAGTAATCTATAATAATCTATATAAACTATAAAATTTATAACTTTTTCATGAAAATTTTATAAAAAATAAAATAATTTTAACCTTAAATTATAATTATGAGTTTTTAATAACAAAATAAGATATATATGTTAATCTAAAAGACTAACAATTTTATGAATGAAAATAATATGGATTAATTTTAATTATAAATAGTATATATTAAATTTAATTAGTACATATTTATATTTTACGGTAAATTTTATTTATTTATTTATTTTAGTACAATATGTGGGATCGGAGATTGAACTCACAACTTTTGTTAGTTTGAGATATACTCGCTTTCACCGGTAAATTTTTTTATTAATTATATATATTTATTTATGTATCCAGGAAGTCCTCTCAAATCAGGAGAAGAAACACAATAAAAAGAGGGTGATTGTGAAATAAATAGCTAATTTAAATTTATTTTAGATTTGAAAATAGGGTGCAGAGAGATAGGATACACTTATCCTTTGAAATCTTTGTGATTCTCTCCTTATCCGATTTTTCCCAACGATACTCACCCTACTCGATTAATGTCACAGGTAGTCATCAAATCATAGCAACCAGACCATGATTGTTTCGATTTGCATTCGAATTGATTTCGTTAAATAATGCATTGATGCCCCAATTTACTTCCACTCAAATCCTAATCAAACTCACATTTTGGTTGTTTACAGGGATTGAACTTCCATGAGAAGGAATACATGTCGATTACCACTTAACTATGTTTAAATTGATGGTTTCTTAGTTTTAAAGTTTCAATAAATGAGTGTTTTTTTTTTCGTGTTAAATAATTAGTTCATTTAGAAATTGATTAACCTGAAAATAGGATCTACCTGTTTGAAGCATCTCATTCCCTTCCAAATTTTAAAACAACCTTTGAAATTTGAAATTAATAATAATTGAAATGTTTGAAAAAGATGTAACTAAAAACCCTAACCGACTTTACGATTCAAAATATGACTAAATGTTACAATTGATAGATGAGTTGGGAAAGAAAAATTATTTGGAAAACTTCATTGTCATTGGATACTCAACATGATCTCCCACCCAAACATGTAAGACTAAATAAAGGAAAAAAAAATTACATTCACTGCACATTGCAACAAACTAAAATAAATAACTAGTACTAAAAATAAAACATTCTCTATCTTGCAACAAAATTAAATTAAAATAAACTAAAACTTAACTTTAATTAGAGTTGTTGTTTCATATGTTGGAGAGAGGATCTTAATCTATTTCCAAAAATACCCTTGATCCACTGGGTTGAGCAAAGTCAGTTGCTCTTGCTCTCTGTCCTTGTTCCTCTTCTGTATTGAGTGTAATAGTTGTGCGAGTGGATCTCGTATCAAATTTCCCGTGCGAGTGGAGCCGGAGCTGAACTCGGTTGGAGTAAAAGTGAAGGTAATAGAAGTTGAGGAGGATTACATTGAGGTGCAGGAAGATTAGACTGAATTGAAGGTAGAGGCGGAGGATCATGAGAAAAAATCATTTGCTTATAATTATATTTTTAAAATATTAATGCAAACCAAAACCTATAATGGTAGACCCCATAATCAAAATATACTTTTTTATCATAAAATTCAAAGTGTACAACAAATGCAACACTACTGGTAAATTTGCAACAATCATGTTCAGAAAATAACAAAATTAGGCATACAAAAGATTGAACAAAATAATGTAGACGTCCAGTTTCCAACACCTGTCTCAGACACAATAAATATGGCAATGGCAATGACAACAGAAAAATATATTAGTTGAATGCCTACGAAAAGGAAGCAAAACTACAGGATTAATTAAAGTGTGAGAGGTGGTAGGAGGAAATGGTGGACATGGCATATATATATATATATATATATATAAAGGCCATCCACAGGCCGTAGAGATTTTAGAAATTGAATTCATTAATAATTTTTGAAAAATGTGATAGTTAATTAATTAAAGTGTTTTTTTTTTTTAGAAAATTTAATTAAAGTGTGTCCACGACCACCAAAACTAGGGTATTAGGCCATCTCTTTACAATTATTTTCTTTAATTGTACCACCATTTTATTTATAAATTTTTTTTTCCAATTATACATTTAAACTGGTTTGGAAGTGTTCACACATGTATGAAAATTTCTTTTGGTTTTATAACTAAACTTTTTGTATTAAATTTAGATAAATCAAATCTATTAAAGAAAATAAGACAATTTTTAGATTAATATCCCATCTCTCCCATTAACTTTTGATGCAAATTGAAAAAATGGACTACATTACATAACATAACATAGTGCCCTTCCAGTAATTTGTTCCTTTTTATTGCCGTTTTCTCCCCGGTTGCGCTTCCCTTGAAATGGAGAAAAAAACGGAGGGATTATTTTTGGAGAGGGTAAATTCGAGAATTGGAAAAATAAGAGATGAGAAAAAGATGGCGTGGGAAGGACAGATCTTCGAATCATAGAATATTTCATAGGTCCAAAATTAAGTGCATCTCCTATTCTATTCTATTTTGAAATTTAAAATAATTTTTATAAAACTTGTAATTAGTTGTTGAAACTTAAGATTCTTTTGAAATTTTATAATTCTCTTTTCTAATGAATATTTATTTTATTATATTTTTTTAAAATACAGATAAAAGACAAACTAAATAAAGTCTTCGAGTCCATTAATCGAGTGGCTACGTACACACGCTCTTCCATTCGGAACACAATTTCCTTCCCCTGAAACCCGCCATCTCCATAATGCTTCAGTTATATATTCTATAAACTCGTTTAATAATGATTTTGTTTCCACATATAAAATCGTTAAATAATTTCCTTTTAATTTTGCCTCTTGAAGGTTTACACCATATAATTTTTAGTTTACAAATTTAGATATAATTTTTTATTTTATTTCACTGATAAGTACCAACTACACATATAACTAAAAACTAAAAAGAAAATTACATTATTAAAATAATAAAAATAATTTTTAAAAATTGTGAAACTCCTTTGTCTGGCATGGTTGAACTTGAAAGGCTTTTTCCCCCGATGATAAAATCTTGTTGTTTGGCATGGTTGAGATGTTGTCTCCCCACATTCAATCATGAAACTTCGTTGATCATATTCTTATAAATGGAGCAACAAAATTCAAACAACATTTTGATCCGGATCTTGATCATTTATCTCAATTATGCGATCCCAATAAAGATGAGCAACTACATCTGTAACATAAAATAAGATAAATATATATCGAATATCTTCCTTTATATTGAAATTAATATAAAGTGTCATACTGACAAATACCGACATATATACTACATGAATATGAGATTTGTAGGAACCAAAATTCTCAGAATTAAAACAAACATGAATAGACCATAAAATCATTATAACTAAAAGAAACGAAAACCCCAACACTAGTGAGTATTTTGTAGTATATTGGATTAGTGGTACATTGTGTACTATATGCATATCATTGATAGGCACAAAAGATAGAAAAAAATAAATTGTGAATATTGGTGTCAAGGAAAATCCAATCACCATCAGTAGACCGAGTGGACTTGTTCGAAGACAAGGATAAATTAGAGATCTCATTAGAACCTCGTATATAAAGATGGCAATAATATTGTCTCTTTGGGCAAATGTTTGCAAACTAACGCTCAAAAAATCAGTATGGATTAGAAGAAATTTTGCTAGGACAAAAGAAAACACACTTGCAATGGCTCGAAAAATAAGGTTTCCCAAGTGTCGATTAGAATGTGTAGAAAAATGGGAGGAGTTTTCGAGAATTGGATAAATGTCTGCCATGGATGAGTTTTAACAACTCTCTCGAGGATAGATTTAATGGAACAATAAGAGACACAATTAAATTAGTCCTAATTATGTTTAAATACTTAATTAAAAATTATATTAAAATTTAAAATAGGATGTAGACGGTTTGGATACACTCAACATTTGAAATTTTCTATGATTCTGTTTGTTATATGATCTCTGACTTTCAACCCTCTCCTATTTTTTCTCATTTTTCTCGTCTCTCCTGTTTTCTCTCACTCTCTCATTCCGGCAATTTCTCTCTTTCCCACCAAAAAAATATATTTTTTAG